ATGTGTACCAGAGACCTATTTTATAAACAATTCCTATAAACTCCCTTAATTCACTGTCTGAAAAGGAAAATGATTTCAGGATTGTTTGCATCTTTAGGTTATACAGGCCAGCACTCCACTGCACATTAGATCTGACTTAATACTAAATAGCACCTTACACAGGGTCATAAGAAGCCCTCTAGAAAATAGCTACCAATCAAATCATATTATGTATTGGGAACAAGTAACACCTTTTTCACGTTTTGATCTATTAAGAATGGGGAAAATATACATTCAGATTCTACCACTGCTTTAAAATTTTCTTCATATCCAAGACTCTCATTGCAGCAAAATACCATGTGGACCACAGACAACATAGGTTCCATTTATCCAACATAAGAATCTCATCAGAAATAAAGCAATTAGCATCCACTACTTTTAATCAGGAAAGTCATGTATGGTCTGATGGCTGAATTTTATGAAGTGTACATAATTACAGTGTCTGAAATAGTAATTATGATATGTGCAATAAGGCTTTCTTTCTTTCACTGATCCATTCCCTCTACACATATTTACTGAGAACCTACTATGTGCCCGGCATTGTGCCTGAGTGTCTGGGTATACAGCAGTAAGACAGACCTGACCCCTGCCCTCAAGGAGCTTATGCTCTGCTAAGGAGAAAGAGATAACAAACATAGAAAACTGTGATTACAAAGCACATAGTGACTTTCTGGCAGCCATCCTCACGCCACTGTGTCATGTTGAGCCAGTCACCCAAAGCCCTGTCTTTCCTACGTGCCATAAGGTCATGAGCCACTGGAGTTGTGTACCCACATGCAAGCCCTAATTATTATAGGTTGCACACCATTCATCTTATTTCATCCCCTTCACTGTTCCAACTGGTTGAGATCCTTGGGGATCTTACCTCCAACAGCCAATTAGCTATCACTTCTGGCTCTATGTTAACCTGAACTTTCTTTTAGGTCTTAAATACCTGATAAAAATGAACAGGCCAGAGCCATGGACACAGCCTCTCTCTCAGAGGGCAGGACCCTATTAATGAGTACCTTACACACAGCTGTTCAGCCATTTGTGAATCCATTTAATTGTCCTAGCCCCACAAGCCTCTACTTTCTCTTCACAGACTTCACAGGATGCCTTGTCAAATGCCTTACTCTTAATCCAGTACATGATACTTTCTTGTTCAACAAAATTAGTATTCCTTATCAAAGAAGGAAACTGTATTAGTGAAACTGTATTAGTTCAACATGACTTGTACATACTGCCCCTATGCTGGGAAGTAGTAATCACTTCTTGGTGAGTGGTTAAGAAGCTGGGATTTGATGTCAGAAAGACCTGGATTTGAAGCCCAACACCAACACCTGTAAACTCCATGAGGTGAGCAAACCATCTGAAAATGAGGATGCTCAAAGCGCCTGTCCTCTAGGGTTGTTGTGTGGAGTCAGCAGATGTCAATAATCACCATCTGATCAGTGACCTTATCCCTGACAACTCATTCTAGATCTGTACAACATCGACAAGATCAATAGCTTAAGATGAACAGTGAAAGGGTTTTAGCTTCTGCTATCTTATAAAAATTGCCATGTTTTAAATCTCATTTGCAAGTTCTCCCAATAAGCAAGGGAGTAATTTACTCAGAAGAAAAGACATTTAATATTTAAAGTAACTGAGTTGACTACCCATTCATACCTGTCTTCAATTCAATTCTCTTTTGTCCTTTTTTTTTTTTTTTTTTTTTTTTTTTTTTTGAGATGGAGTGATGGAGTTTCACTCTGCTGCCCAGGCTGGAATGCAGTGACGTGATGTCAGCTCACTACAACCTCTGCCTCCCGGGTTCCAGTGATTCTCTTACCTTAGCCTGCTGAGTAGCCAACATGCCCAGCTTTTTTTTTTTGAGATGGAGTCTCACTCTGCCACCCAGGCTGGAGTACAGTGGCACATGCAACCTCTGCCTCATGGCTTCAAGCAATTCTCCTGCCTCAGCCTCCCGAGTAGCTGGATTACAGACATGGGCCACCATGCCTGGTTAATTTTTGTATTTTTAGTAGAGATGAGGTTTCACCATTTTGGCCAGGCTGGTCTTGAACTCCTGACCTTAGGTGATCCACCCGCCTCAGCCTCCCAAAGTGCTGAGATTCTACGCTTGAGCCACCATGCCCGACCTAATTTTTGTATTTTCAGTAGAGATGGGGGTTTTGCTATATTGGCCAGGGTGGTCTTGAACTCCTGACCTCAAGTGATCCACCCGCCTTGGCCTCCCAAGTGCTAGGACTACAGGCGTGAGCCACCATGCCTGGCCACTTTTGTCCATTTCTGATATATTCTTTTGCATTTGAAGATTATTCTACTTGAAAATCAAGACAAAGCAGATCTGGTTCTAAATTGTTTCACTAATCTTCCAAAAGAAAAGCTTCTGCTTCCCTCAGCATTCCTGGCCAGTCTGAGCTCTCTGGGAGATTCGACATCCCTCATACTCCTAAAGTCTAGGCCACACTTCTGCACGCTCTTCCCTTCTCTATCTGTCCTTGAGGTCAAATCGGCCACTACCCACTTTTTTCCACGAGTATCCACTGCAATCATAATGTAAGAATTACGTCTCTGAATTTCTGGCCCTATGGCATGGTCTTTCTGAGTGTGATGCCATATATTGTGCTACCTTCTGAGTTTCTGGAAACCTCATCTTTCTGAAGTTTGGACACATACTTCACTGTGTTCAGTCTGATTCTCAAAAGCCCTCCCCACCAGCTACCAAATTACACTCCTCCCTCAATTCCTTGTTGAACTACTGCCCTTTGCTCAATTCTAGTCAATCTTCCCTGTGCTCTTCTGTAACAAGCTACACATACTTTAGTCACAGGACATTTTCATTATGCTTTCTGTAATATTAGTTATTTATTCACTCAATACACAGTTCTCAAGGGCCTCCTGCTTCCAGTGTGGTGCTAGGCTCCAGGAATACACAACCAAGTGTATCAGGTGCTTTGGAATCTGAAGAAGTGACTGACTCTGCCTGAGGCAAGTGGAGAGCAGCTTCTGAGAAGGTGACTTTTGAGCTGGCTCTTCAAGAAAAATAACTCTACGAAGCACATGGAAAGGACTGGGGAGGCACAGAGAGCAAAAGAACAGTGTGGACTTGGGAAACACAGAAGTGTCCTGACCTACTGTAGGCAAATAAGAGGGAAGTTGAGGCAAGATGGCTGCCGAGCATTTGAAGCTAGATTGTAAGGGCCTGTCTAAGATGTTGAAGAGTCAGATTTAATCAACAGGCAGTGGTAAGAGTCCAGAAACGCAGTGGCTGAAGCTAGTCTTTGTATTATGATAAGGCTCAATGGGTCACCTATCCATTCTTATTTTATTTACTTATTTATTTTTGTTATTTCTTTACCTATCCATTTTTAAATGGCTATCTTGACTTTTATGCAAAAAAAGTTTCTACCTGGGCAAATAATGGATTTTTATTTACATAAGAACAGAAACAAGTTATTGCTACGGCCTATTCTGCAAAAATATGCTTTTTACATCCTAAAATGAAATAAGAATAAATTAGAAGAGCAGTAACAAGGAAAAAAGGGTAAAATTTCTTAAATTATTTTAAAAAACAGAAATGAGCATAATTTTAATATTTTTATATTTCAAATACATTTCCCTTCTTGATAAAATTAAAATCAGTGGCATTTTTCTAACCCACTATATCAAAATATGGATAGTTACCAATCTGGATGTTGGCAATAGATTCAGTGTGACGATCACAAAGTGGACTCACACCCAAATGATACTTTTTTTCTATATCTCCTATACAATAAAAAAAAGACAAGTATTAATATGAAGAATATCTATTGGTTAAATATATATTTAAAGACTTCAACATACCTCTGCAATTTCTTGGGAAAAACATACTTGATCCTCATGAGAGGACAGCTTCACAATTAGTTCTTTTTAAAATTTTAAGTTATTCACACACAGAAGAGATTGCCAAACTGATATTTTTATTTAAATGCAAAAGGTAGAAAATTTTCACTAGGTGTTACCCCAAGAATGTAATTTATAACACTAATATTTATAAATTATTGGAGTTATAAATTACATTCTTGGGGTAACACCTAGTGAAAGTCTTCTAACATTTAAACCAGGCTTTAAATTACACAAAAGTTTTACATGTTCATATGGCCCTCCACACATGACAAGAATAAAGCAAGTTCAGGGAAATCTTTCTGTACAGCAAAATTCCAAACCTAATCTATCTATATTCATAAATGCATAAATACATCTGATCATTCTAAAAGAGGACTTCTAATTTTCAAAATAGATGCTCAATTTGTAGAGTATTGATTATATGTATATCTATTGTGAATTGTCACTAAAAATATCAAGACGTCACTGCTAGACGTATAAATTATTGAGTTATTTTATTCTTATGATGTTAAAAAATGAATTGGATAGATTATCACTCAATACTGTAACTTGCCTTGATGGAAGAATTCCTCCGTTACTTTTTCACTCCACTGCTTGCTTAATTCCCAGGTCCGACATGGGTTACAGATATCAGCACATTTCAAAGCCATCTGGCAAACGAAACGTTAATATTGTTTTAAGATATATACATTTGACAATACCAAAGAACCAAGTGTGTGGATTGGATTAACCATAAAATATACATAAGCCAGAAATATAATGTTCCCTCCTATTTTCAGATGTAAGAATTTATGAGAATAAACTGCTATTTCTTCATTGGTACCCTAATCTTGTAGTAACTGTTTTCATCAGAAATCTTGAGTATGAAAAACACATAAGTAATGATGCCTTTGTAGGTGGCAGATTCACCAGTGATCTCCTTCTGGAAGGATTGTGTGCTAATTGAAGGAAATTCCTCTTCCTGCCCTCAACATTTAACCATTCTAGAATATTTCATTTTTTAGTTTAACGGTCACATAATTTATCCTATAAATAGAATGTTTCCAAGCCCCATTTTACCTGTAAAACCAAATGTCTATGTCTAGTGTCTTCTAGGCATAAATCACCTTTATCCAAATGGGACCTAAACAAAGACAGATACTCATTCTGGCGACTGATGTCTGTGGCTAGTATCAGAGCACCTATCTGTGTCTCCATTTGTTGCCTGGAATTAGAGAAATATAAAGAGAAAATATAAGACTTTAAATATTCACTTCTTGATTTTTTTTTTCTTAACTGTAATAATCAGAAGGCTTTATAGAACTCTAAAATATCCAACTATCATTCAACCTAAAATTTATCACAAAAAAAAAAGTTTTATAGAATGCTTAAAAAAAAAACAAAAACTATTAAGATAACCAAAGCTAAAATCAAGGGAGTTTGTAGGAAAATACCGATACGCAAACATTTCAAAAGGAGAGCCTTTATTTTGCCATCCAAGGTAGGATTATTTGCTTTGAAAAAAAAAAAAATCAACATTGGTATGTTGTTTTAGAAAATTCCTTGCTGGGATTCTCTGCCGAAAAATTCTCATGCTGAGGGTAAACAACTTTGGTTTCTTTTGGCGCCTAAGATCTAAAGGCAGAAGGAAGATTCAGATGGAAGGACTAATGGCCCATTCAACAGCTGACTCATACAGACATTTTGACTAAGATGACTGTTGCAATTCCCCAGAGCAATTTAATAAAGTTTAGATTCAACTGTGTTTTCAAGGTTAAACTCAAGAACCAATCAGTTATCTGTAAATGAATTTCCAACTTTTCTGGAAGGAAAAAGGTAACATGTTAATAGACACAGCAAATACATATATCATTTATAAAACTGCCTCAAGTCAATTAACAAGAGAAATACACATTTAAAAAAAAATCTTGCCTTTTGTTTTAATGGGTCATAGGAAACACTATCTCTGTATATTGATCAATTAAGAGCTGTCAAATAGATTAAAAGACTTACAATATTGAATGTTACATAAAACAAACCCTAAATGAAGAAAACATTAAATAATGCTATTAGGCAGTATTCCTTATTTCCATTTTTATTAAATCTGAGAACTCAACAGGGTTAATCATCAAATGAAAAACATGATTTTTAAAAAGGAAATCAAAAGCAAACATTTTAATCTGTCTTAATTTTAAGAACCCGTAATTTACATATACAAACACAGTGTGTTTAAGCAATTTTCGTATTTGTACTACAGCAAGAAATGATTTTACTTACCAGAAGTATTGTCATACTCCAAATGGTATCCGTGAATAAAGATTTAAAAAAATAAAAAATAAAGTCCAGCTTTTTTCTCACGGTCATTACACAAAACACTTAGTTTTTAAAAAGCTGTCTAAAGTTATGAAAGGGAAACCATAGAACAGTGAGTGTAACTTAAATTTTAATACTCAAACATATTTTTTATGCCTCACCACTTTTCTTGACGTGGATAGCTTCGATCCACTTTCATGGTTTTCTGACGTGCATTTTCCCTCAGCGCGACATTACTAAAAAGCTTGTGTGAGGACCACACTATGGCAATGATGTGAGATTTTGTAAACTATCACCATCATGTTAGGCTTATTCACATTAATGTTTTTTATTAGGTTCTATATAGCCCACTTAATATTGTTATTTTTATTCTAAAATATTAGGTTTTTTTCATTCATTATTGTGTCTTATAGCTCCAGAAGTGTGACTCCAGAATTATGCTCTTGAGGATATAAGGCACTTCTCTTTACTTTGTCAGTTTTGAAAGCTTCGAAGAACAGATTTTAATGAATCTATTTAATACAACAGAATGTTTACATTTCATCCAATTTACCTTTATACCTAGACCTTAAGGTTTTATTCAGCTAAGTATGGAAATATGTAATATTTATTTATGTAAATAAGTAGTAAACTATGGCTGAGCCATTGCGTATTTGGATAAATTTTATAGTATTCAAATCCATGGAACAGTCATTCATAAAAATAACCATCCATTAAAATGTTACCGACTGTGTAACAGGATAGGCCTAAATTATTAAAACTGCATATAATTCATGAAATTTAACAAAAACTGAAAACTGCAGAATACCTGAACATAACAATTTTTAAAACTTTATAAAATTACTTTGCCAGCTTAACTTCTATAACCAATAACAAATGTGTCTTAATCCAACCTACCTGCTTTCTAATGGCAGATGTGAGAATAAGCCTGATTCTCTCAATAAGCCCACTGCAGATCTCCAGTGGTGATTTTCCAGTACTGAGGTATTCTACAACAAAGGATGTTTCTGAGTTATTTAATGATACGTCTCTTTCTGGACATATCATTACTAACAATACTGTGAGTAACATCTGGTTAAAACTCTCCACATCCACTGAGAATTTATTTTCAATACTTTCATTTCTTGAAAATATAAAACATTTTCTAGAATGCAAACATAATAAATTTTGATGATAAAATTGCACTAACCTTGTATAAAGTTGCCAAGTAATGGTTAGTTTTAATAAGGAAAGGTTGATTAACACCTGGATGATCCAGATCATGAGTGGCAGCTGCAATTAAGCTCAGCAAGATATCCCAAGGAGTTACAGAACTGGCAAGCTGAAGTGTGACAAAAGGATAATGAATCACAGATATATCTAAAATAAGCCCTATGCCATCACAGTAGTTGTGAATTAGCAGCCCATGGCAGTGGTGGCAATCTCCTCCCACTTCACCTCATTCTTCAGGTGGCTGTTCATTAGGGCCACCAAGCTCATCTGACAGGCCCTGGCCTCATTACCACACTGGCGCAGGCATGATACAACAGTGGCCCTGCCCACGTGGAATTTACAGAGCTCATCCTTAGGCCATTTCATTTTTAACAAGCTTAATTAAAATGGCAGCTAAAGCATACACCATTCTTTTTGAGAAATAATGGCTTTAAAATGACAAACACAGGTTGGCACATTTTTATTACTATAGCCATTACTGAACAGAAGACCTAAAATTTTAAGGGTATTTATTTCTCAACAAATTGGTTACTGGATTTCAAGAATGTAATCTAAAATGTAAGGTTATTCCTGTAGTGCTGATGTTCAAGGAGTCTACTAAGTAATCATGTTAAGTGGAAGTCTGTGTCAAGTCTGTGATAAAATCCTCCCCCAGTGGATGGGTACATTCAGAACAAAGACACAATGTATTCATGTCAGGGAAAGCAATCTTGCACACCAGATATTGTAACTTTACTCTCAATAATCATTACCAAACTTATTTGATATAATAATCACGATAAATAAGTTTATGATTAGCTAACAAATGTTCAAGGATAAAATGATCATCTTGAATATATCACCTACTTTACATGAATCGCCTCTCATTTTCTGGCAAACTTGGCCAGATTTGTGTTCCCACATCACCTCACGGCCTGCCACAATAACACTCATCAGAATATATTATTATTTAGGTTTACATTAGGACAGTGCTGACTAAACTGTAATGATCCTATGCTCTAACAGTGAAAACTTTTGAGTGTACACCACTAAGTATATTTGCTTATAAATTATTATACTGAACTAATAGATTCAAATTCTATTATTTTCTTTTTCTGCTAGAATGAATCAGTCATCTCTTTCCACTCCTTGTGTTACATTCATCTCCGTCAGAGAAATCACTATCTGAGGGCCTGAATCTCCTGGAAAACTGCTAGCTACCTGTAGGCAGGGATGCATATTATTTATTTTTGTATCACATATAATTAGTACATGGAGAAGGTCAATGAAAAGGAGAAGATGGTAAAGAAAATTATTTCCTCTTTAGGATATGTAAAAGCAGGGCTCCTCAATTCCCAGGCTGTAGACTGGTACTGGTCTGTGGCCTGTTAGGAACCTAATAGGAATCAGGTGCACAGCAGGAAGTGAGCTGCCGGCCAGCATGCATTACTACCTGAGCTCTGCCTTGGAAGCAGTAGATTCTCACAGGAGCACAAACCCTATCGTAAACTGCGCATGTGAGGGATCTAGGTTGCACACTTTTTTTTCTTTTGAGAGTCTCATTCTGTTGCCCAGGCTGGAGTGCAGTGGCACCATCTTGGCTCACCGCAAACTCTGCCTCCTGGGTTCAAGCAATTCTCCTGCCTCAGCCTCCCAAGTAATTGGGAGTAGAGACATGCATCATCACGCATCCCATATGTTTCACAAGTAAGATTCCAGGGGCCAAAATTCATCTTACTCATATTTTTTTTCACTAGCGATTAGCATCTACTTGGAGCATGAGTAAGTGTATATCCACAAGAAAGGCAACTCGACCATCACCAATCTCGCTGACATCAAAGGGAAGGATGTGGGAGCCAGGGAGGGGTGTGGGGGGCCAGGCTCTTTTTTCAACTGCCAGGCACAAGTAGAGCAAGGCTTAAAGGTTCAGTGTTAGTGGCTTTATCTCTGGAACATGTAACTGTAATTCTTATCCAGACTTAGTTTAAGTATAGGCACCACAATGCCCAGCTGATTTTAGTATTTTTAGTAGAGACGGGGTTTCACCATGTTGGCCACGCTGATCACAAACTCCTGACCTCAGGTGCTCCACCAGCCTCGGCCTCCCAAAATGCTGGGGTTACAGGTGTGAGCCACCACACATTAGCACATTATTTTGATCAAATTCAATTTATCCATTTGTTTAATGACTGTCCCTCCCCCACTAGGATGTACACTTCATGAAGGCAGGGACCATTGCTGTCCTGCTCACCACTATGTTCCTAGCACCAGGATAGAGCCTGGCATGTGGCAGATGCTCAGAGTATAAAAAATGTGATGCTATGTGAAGGCTCAGGAAGTAACAGAGATACAATCTTCAGGCATCTACCTAATCTTATCTATCGATCAATCAATTGATCAATAGCATGTTGCTCCATTACCCAGGCTGCAGTGCAGTGGCACTATCATGACTCTACTGGACCTCCCAGGTTCAAGTGATCCTCCCGAGTCAGCCTCCTAAGTAGCTGGGACCACAGGTGCACAACACTATGCCCGTCTAACGTTTTATTTTTTGTAGATGTGGAGTCTTGCTATATTGCCCAGGTTGGTCTCAAACTACTGGCTTCAAGTGATCCTCTTCCTGGCCTCCCAAAGTACTGGGATTACAGGCATGAGCCACTGTACCTGGACCTACTTCAAATTTTTTAGAATTTGCTTTTAAAACTTTGAGTGACTCTGGTTTTCTTTCTTTTTTTGAATAAAAGAGACAAGATCTTGCTATGTTGCCCAGGCTGCTCTCAAACTCTGGGCTTAAGCAAGCCACCTGCCTTGGCCTCCCAAAGTGCTAGGATTACAGGCATGAGTCACTGTGCCCGGCCCTGGGTGACTCCATTTAAAAACGTTCACTATAAGGGAGAAGGGAAATACTTGCATTGTAGGGCTTTGTGATTGTATCTATATCCTTAACTGAAGCCTTTGGTAAAGTGTTCATCGAGTATGTTAAAGATGAAAAGTGTTTTAGGTATTATCAGAACTCCACAGGCAAGAAGTGTTCAAAATCGTGTTTTTATTCATTTTTGTCCATGTGCATCCCTGCCCTGCTCACCTGGCATTACCCAGGTTTCCTTGCCCCTGGCTCGGGTTGGGTGTGCCCAGAGGGAGACAGGAGTGCAGAAGCCTTCACTAACCGGGTTAACCCTCCTGTGTGCTGCAGAGAACTTATCACCATCTTTCCACTTACCAGACTGTATGTAAGGCCATTACTTATCAATTTCTCCCACAACATTCTCAAACAGAGGTTGCAGTCTTGGCCCAGAGTTTTTTAAAATCTTAATTAAAAAAATTGGGATGGGCAATAGAGTGAGACCCTGTCACTACAAAAAATTTTAAAAATTAGCTGGTCTCCAGCTTGAGCCCAGGAGGTCGAGGCTGCAATGAGCCGTGATCACACTACTGCCCTTCAGCCTGGGCAACACTGTGAAATCCTGTCTCTTAGGAAAAAAACAGTTGGGGTGGCTGGGAGTATACATTTGTCAAAACTGTACACATAAAATGTATGCACTGTATTACTGTATCTAAGTTCCACCACAATAAAGTCAATTTTTTTTTAAAGTCATGATACATATACTAAGAAAAAAAACTGGGCATTTTCATATATTCTATGATCTCTTAAATAATCAGAAGATTGGCTGTGTTCTTAAGTTAGCATCAATGACACAAGCCAGTTTGGTCAGCCTGTTTCCTGCCTAACACCTTAGCCAGAACTAAGATCTAGGGAGAGAGCAGTTTTTAAGTAGGGATGGGGTAAGCAGACATAATTGCAGAACTGCCAGGGATAGAAAATGTCCCAAATCTATACATATAGTCTGATTTCTCTCCTATACTTCGGACTCTTTTATGTAACTCTCGATATCAAATACATTAAACTCCATGGATCCAAAATGATGCTCACTGTCTTTACAAGCCTTACCCCTAAAACTTGTTCCTCTCTACATTCCTCCTCTCATGGAAGACTTCTACCGTCTACTAACTGCCCAAACCATGTCTTCACTGACTTAGGTTTCTTTCCCCTAAACGCATTCACACACCACATTCTGTTCATTCTAATTCCCAAGAGAACTTGCAAACCATCCACGTTCTCTACTTCACCAAGGCCACTCTGCTCTCCTCCATGGAGCACTGAAGTAACTCCTGGCAGGTGTACAGGCTTTTGGTCTTCATAGGATTTATTTTCACACCACAGCTGGGATAATTTTCTCAAGTCTCCCGCTTCCCTTCCGTAGCTCCCCATTCCTTCACTGAGTCAGACCAAGGCTGTCCCTGCCCACATGGAACCCACGTGGAGCTCAATGTAAATGTCAGGTGTCTGCAGCAGTCAAGGTGTCAAGTGACCTGGCCCTTGCTTGGGCTTCTCCAGCCTCTCTCAACAACCACCCAACTCTCTAGTTGTTGCACTTTGAAACACAGCCAGATTCAGAAACTGATCGAGCTATATCTCACTCTTGTGAAGGAAGATTATGAGTCAAGGCAGTAACTTCAGGAGAAGTATTTGAAAGTAAATCAAAAGGAATTTTCTTACGATTTGCAGCTGAAATCAATGTCAACCTCTTACCTTAGGTTCCTTTAAGTAACAGTGCATGGCCTGAGTAACATCCGCAGCGTGGACTGCGTTATGGTAAGGATTTTGACTGTGGTAATCTTCTTGAATCATAACTGCATCAAAGAAAAACATCCTGATTTTATTGTATATGAGCAACATGTACAAGTACAAAAACTGTGATAATTATGAGTTACCCACTCATACTTTTCATGTAGCTATCAGCTAAAATTGTGCAGATTCAGACAGATGATAATCACCTCACAACTCATATGTATACCCAAAAAATCAATATCAATTTGACTCTCTATGCTATCATGGAAGAACAGACTAGGCTTCAGGGTGAGCTGTGCCCCCTGTCATTAAACCTACATGACAGCCCAGCAGAATAACACCCTAATTCAGTGGTCTCAAAGGGAAGCGAGCCTGCTTGTCATGGGGAAACACAATCGCCAAGTGAGTGGGAAACACCATCAGAATTCTGCACTGCTTCTGTCCCATCCTTTAAAAGAGCCTTTTCAATACCCTTGTTAATACTGTTTCTTTGACACAGGATCTTACTTTGTTGCCCAGGCTGGAGTGCAGTTACACGATCATGGCTCACTGCAGCCTTGACCTCCTGGGCTCAAGTAATCCTCCCACCTCAGTCTCCAAGTGGCTGGAACCACAGGTGCACACTACCATGCCTGGCTAATTATTTGTATTTTTTGTAGAGACAGGATCTTGCCATGTTGCCCGGGCTGGTTTTGAACTCCTGGGCTCAAGCAGTCTACCTGTCTTGGTTTCCCAAAGTGCCAGCATTACAGGTGTGAGCCACTATGCCCTTCCTAATAAGCTATTTTTGTATGTGTTGTTTTTTTTTTTAATTTTTCCTTTTTTGAGACGGAGTCTTGCTCTGTCACCTGCCATCATGCCCAGCTAATTCTTTGTATTTTGTAAAGATGGGATGTCACCATGCTGGCCAGGCTGGTCTTGAACTCCTCACCTCAGGTAATCCGCCCACCTCAGCGTCCCAAAGTGCTGGAATTACAGGTGTCAGCCACCATGCCAGGCTGTATGTGTTTTATAACTTACATTTTAGTACAGTAGTCCCCTCATATTTTGGGGGGATATGTTCCAAGACCCCCCAATGAAAGCCTGAAACCACAGATAGTACCAAACCCTATGTATGTTTTTCCTATACAAACACACCTATGATAATGCTTAAATTATAAGTTAGTCATAGTAAAAAATTAACGATAACCAAATAAAATAGAACAATTATAACAATATGCCAGCATCACAACTCTTATGAAGTAAAATAAGGGTGACGAACACAGGCACTGTGATACCAACACAGCTGATCTGATAACCAACATGGATCAGGATGCAATGAGATTTCATCACTCTGCTTACAAGGGGGCACAATTTAAAACTTATAAATAGCTTGCTTCTGGAATTTTCCACTTAATATTTTCAGACTAGAGTTGACCACGGGTTAACTGAAACCACAGAAAGCAAAACCAGAGATAAAGGGAGACTACTGTACAGTATTACAGGCATACTACTGTATGTTCCTCAAGGCCAAGTATGCTGTCTCACACATGTAATTCCAGCACTTTGGGAGGGCGAGGCCAGAGGATTGCTTAAGGCCAGGAGTCTGAGACCAGCTTAGGCCATTAGCAAGACCTTGTCCCTATTAAAAATAAAAATAAAAATGTAGCCCAGTGTGGTGGTGCAGACTGTTAGTCCTAGCTACTCAGGAGGCTGAGGTGGAAGGATCGCTTGAGCCTGGGAGGTCAAGGCTGTAGACCATTGAGTTGCTAGGGGACAGAGCAAGACTATCTCCAAAAGAAAAAGCTTCTTAAAAACTCTATGTAATAAATTTATCTCAGTCTGGTATTTTTTTTTTTTAAGCCAGAGTTCTAAGTACAAGTCTCAAGTCTGAGTTAGTATTTCTAGCTCTTCAACTGGGTGTACATTGTTGGTATTAAGGCTTCTTTTTTCCCCTGCTTTTTGAGACAGAGTCTCGCTCTGTTGCTCAGGCTGGAGTATAGTGGCACCATCTCAGCTCACTGCAACCTCTGCCTCCCAGGTTCAAGCGATTCTCCTACCTCGGCCTGGATGAGGTGGAAGGTTAGCTGGAGCTTGGGAGGTTGAGGCTGTGCAGTGAGCCACAATCATGCCACTGCATTCCAGCCTCAGCAATACAGCAAGACCCTGTCTCAAAAAACCAAACAAAAAAAAAACACCTGAGTTACTATTTTCTCAATTCTCCCAAGGACAGTATAGAGCTGAAGCCATTCCAGATACACTGCACCGAAGATAATCCATTGTAGCCAATGGATTCTTCAGGGTTTTAGGGCTTACTTTTCTCCTAAACCTGTTCTAGTGGCTTCCACATTAGCAGCAACAGGATGGGGGAAGAAACAGCCAAGTATTCATAAGAACAATGTGCAAAGCGGGGGTATGCATGCTTATGATTGCCAGTATAGCTACTGGGGCTACTCACACTATTTTAGTTATGAACTTGAGAATTTACTACAAAATATTATCTGTAGAGTCACACAGGCTTCTGTCTACTTAGATAAACAAAGCAGTTACAGATTAGCAAAAATGGTTGTATGAATTTATTTATGTAGTTTTGAGACAGAGTCTCATTCTGTTGCCCAGCTGGAGTGCAGTGGTATGATCTTGGATCACTGCAACCTCTGCCTCCCAGGTTAAAGTGATTCTCCTGCCTCGGCCTCCTGAGTAGCTGGGATTAGAGGCACATGCCTCCACACCCGACTAATTTTTATATTTTTAGTAGAGATGGGGTTTCGCCATGTTGGCAAGGCTGATCTCGAACTCCTGGCCTCATGTGATCCATCTGCCTTGGCTTCCCAAAGTGCCAGGATTACAGGTGTGAGCCACCACGCCCAGCCTACATAAAATATGAAATGCCCCACTAGCACCATCTTAACTCCCTTATAGTTCCAAAGTTTCATCATTGTCCTACAGAAATAAATTACTTCCTGAATAATTTGTAATTTCTCTCTACTTAAAACTGAAAGATTTTAAAAGGATATCAAATCAATGTGATGGTCTCTCACTATTAAGTATAGTCATACCACAGAGGTGTTGAGTGTTAAGTTCCAGAACACTAATATAAAGTGAATACTGTAATATAGCAAGTCAAAATTTTGGGTTTCCCAGTAAACACAGCTCTTATGTTTACACTATAGTCTATGACTGTACAATAGCATTATGTCTTAAAAAACCGATGTATACATCTTAATTTAAAAGACTTTATTGCTACAAAATGCTAATAATTATTTGAGCCTTCAGCAAGTTGTAATCTTTTTGTTGTACATAAGCAATAATGAATTACAAATTAAGCTATCTCGTGATCTAGGTACTATATGAAATATCACATTGAGGCTCAGAAAATGAGACCCCAAAATATGCTGCTTTGGACTTCAAACTTGGAGCAGCAAATGCAGGAGAGGACTTTCTCTGAAGTTCCTCTATCCACCTAAAGGACGAACAAACACTTTACCAGGAATCGTAAATGCCTTCCTCAGGTGGAACCAACCAGGAGAAATTGGTGCATAACACAAAGGAAGACTAGAGTTGATATCTTGTGCCTCAGCCTCCAGAGTAGCTGGGATTATAGGTCCTCGCCACCACGCCTGGCTACTTTTTTTGTATTTTTAGTAGAGACAGGGTTTCACCATGTTGGCCAGGCTGGTCTCCAACTCCTGGCTTCAAGTGATCTGCCCGCCTCGGCCTCCCAAAGTGCTGGGATTACAGGTGTGAGCCACCGCACCTGGCCTCAAATTATCTTTAAAGCTTACTCTCAAGAGATTTTAGGGATCAGAAAAAGAAGAAACCTAACTGCGATATACCTCATCTTTTAAAAGTTTTAGCCTTCAAAAATTTAGAAAAGTACAGAAATTGTGTCATCTTTGTCAGCAATCTGTAGCCAGTGTTAAGAAACTGATTGCAAAATAAAATTAAGTCTTCACTATTCCCTGTTATCTATGGCTCTGCGACTTTGCAGCTTCTGCACCAAGAGATGCAGCTCATCCCTGGTCTGACCTGCTGTGGCCACTTGCTGCAGAAGTGGAGGTGGGCCAGTTTTGAGCCCAGGGCTCCAGAGGCCTGGGCTTATCAGCTCTCTCTTGGAAACCTGCCACTACTGTTTGAACAAGCTCAGCTGACTGTAAAATAAATAATTCTTTCTTGTTTTTAGTGTAAATCTATCATGGTGCCAAACTCCTCTGCTTCTTTTAAGTTTAACAGAAGACCATGTAGAGCCGAGATGGGTCAGGCCTGGTATCCTAGCTGAGGTCACTGCAAAACCAACATTCAGCCTACCTGTTGCTGTCTGCAGGTGCATAAATGAGCTCACCCAGACCAAAAGAAGCACTCAACAGCCCCACAGATGTAAGAGCTAAATAACTGTGTGTTGTTTTAAGCTACGAATTTTGGATGGCTTGTTATAGAGCAATAGCTAACTGATGTAACTGAGATAAAACTTAGGTTCTTGTATAAATATAAATCTTGTTACTGTTTTTTTTTTCTTTTTGTTAAATCTTGTTACTGTTAATGGGTTAGAATCACTTACCTAAAAATCTACGAAGTTTCATCATATCTAAATGGAAGTACTCAATTAATCCATGAAGACTAAATAAATGAAAGGTTAAGCTTACTAGACTATTTCCTAAAAAGAAAGAAGAGACATTACATTAGTAGGAAATACAAGTCAACATGATTACATTATGCTTTGAAATATGGATTCTTAATACAAAACATGGAAAGAGTAATAATTCCTTTTTGTCTATCGAAAATATGCATCTTATTTTACCAATTATGAACTTAAACGTCATGTCTTTGTTTCACTCTAAGAAAAAATTAATTTTTGTTTTTCGCTTTTCCACAAACAACTGAAAGCTAGACATTTTCAAACAGATTTTTTTAAAAAGACATCAAAATAATCAGAATAGACAATGAAAGCTTTGAAAATTGCCCCACACAGTAACCTAACTCAGTGTGGTTGCATCTGACCTCCCTCCTGACATCACCTCTGCCATCTCGCTTTCACTGAAACAGACTGCCCCAGAACACACTGCCTCGGCTGCAGCATTCTTAGGTGGAGAATGTGTCTATTCTTATCCTTACAGGGTTAGGAGAAGGCATCAATGACCTCAAGAGCATCAGGATTAAAAACTCTGAACTCAACCACTTGCTTTTCCAGATTAGCTGCAGAAAATCTGAGAGTTACTGGGGGGCGGGGTGGAGTGGGGGGGTGGACATCACAAAACTAGGCAGAATATTGCTATAAATTCATAGTCAACACTGCCCAGCAATCATATTGTTTTCCAGCGAAATGGCTTTCACTTTTTAAAATGCCTGTTTTCAAGCCTTTTGTACTCTTCTTAAACATTCAACATACTTACTTCCCATCCACCCTGTCATTCTACACAGCCCCATATGTCACAGAAATAATACAAGCTCTCAAGTTTCCCTTTCTGTCTTTTTTTTTTTTTTTTTTTTTTTTTTGAGATGAAGTCTCGCACTATCTCCCGGACTGGAGTGCAATACAACGGTGTGATCTTGGCTCACTGCAACCTCTTCTCCTGGATTCAAGCGATTCTCCTGCCTCAGCCTCCTGAGTGGCTGAGATTACGGGCACCCACCACTAAGCCCAGCTAATTTTTTGTATTTTTAGGAGAGACGGGGTTTCACTATGTTGCCCAGGCTGGTCTAGAACTCCTGACCTCGTGATCCACACACCTCAGCCTCCCAAACTGCTGGAATTACAGGCATGAGCCACCACACCCTCTTTTTCTTTCAAAAGCCAATCCATCCATACCTGTTCAGAGATATTCCTTCTTCCAACAGAGACAGCTATCCCAACCTCAGCCCACCTCACCAATCTCTCTCTTTTCTATATTGTCCCAATAAACATCAGCATTCAGATATGCTTTAGATTCTCACATCTCTGAAACAATAAAGAATCTCAGCCTCTCCTGGCCCCTCCAGTTTCACCTGCTCCATTCTCCTACAGAGCCAAGATTTTGGAAAGGGCTGCAAAATGCAATGGGGACTGTCTTGGTCCTCAATATCCACTCCTTTGTCATTGACAAGTGGAGTCACACGAAGAACAGAAATTAAAATTGGAAAAACTAACATTTTTATGATGTTTAGTTTTCCCTTCCATGGTGTAGCTCTCCATTTTTTATACCTCCTACTATATTTCTCAGTTTTATAAACTTCCATAGGACGCATATGCTATATTAGTTTAACAATTAAATAGGCCACATGTTTTAAACAGGCTACATATTAAAAAGTCTATTTTAAGTAGACTACATCCTTTAAATAGATTCATAAATTATTGCCAACATTCAGATAATAACAATAAAATACACGATTCTAGTATTCTCTAAAGTCTGACTCTTATAAAAATGTGTAAAAGACATATTGGTCCCACATGGAAAATGTATAGTAATATTATTTATAAAGGACAATAAAGGACTGTTTGGCTTAACTTGTTATCTAAAACTGCCTAACCAACTGCCAACAAAAGACCATAGCTGATAAAAAGTACATTAATTGAAGCATTATTTGCATGGGCAATAACAGAAAAGATATGGCAGGCCAAAAGTAAAAAGTACCTGACATATCACCTTCATATGGAAAGAAAAAACATTTCAAATCTTACGTTTTAAATAAACTAAATGTTAATATATGTTCAGGTCCTGATATGCTCTATTGGTACAAACACGAGTTCTTGTGGTGTGGAGCCATTTCTGAAGAAGTGAACCATGTGTCTGTTACCATTTCTGTAACAACCATCTTCTCTTCGAGAATATACGTAAATATTTTAGAATGTTTATTCATTCTCTGTATATTTAGATTATCATAAGGTTCACCCCAAATTGTTTTTCAAATGTAACAAAACAAATTACCCATTTCTAGGATGTAGAATAAATTTTAAGAAAGCTACAATCGAATGGGAAAATACCCTCTTCAGAAATTCAGGCAGTATGCAGTGAAGAAACACATGTAATGTCCCCACCAAGAACATTTAAGCAATCTGACAAGAACCAGTTTCTTAAAGCATACTACCCATATGTAATTGAAAAGCTGCATGCAAGATACCAACTGAGGATTTTAATACCAGTGAGTAAGAACACAAGTCAACAAAACATTTCAAAACAAGAGATGCTCAGCTGTGTTAAACAAAAACCAAACACAGAACTTTTAAAAAATGGAAATGAAAACAAACACTTTCTTGAAAAAGCAAATCGTATTTTTAGAAAAGCTACCCTCATAAAAAGATATCAAAAGATAGAACTGCCTATGGAAGAGTGGTCCTCATTTGTTTTTAGAAGGTGATCCAGATGGGATCTGACTGGAAGCAGTAGGCTAGCCCCACAGTGTGGGCCTGGCAGCTAGTGTCCTCACGAACCAGGTGGCTTTTAGGGGTGATAAGCTCTTGCTATGTCACATCATTGAACTCTCTCAGTCCTACAAAAGGAACTTCAAATGCATCCTACCAGACAATAACTACTTCCCTCCTTGTAGCAGACAAGCTGGGACCATTTGTCTTGGCACGAATCACTGCATTTTGCTTCATCTTGGCCTTCCTGTCCTCCCTCCAATATCATCTGGGAAATTACCAGCATAAGAAACATGAGAAAGCACTGGATCAACAAGCAAGAAGAGAAAACTATACCCTTGGATATCATGAATATATATTACCCAGAACTCATTTCAGGCGAAGCAGTTTTAAAAGGAAAGCCATTCTCATTATACAATATAAGCTAAAGGAATTTTCTTTTGCCCATTTGTTTCTCAATAACATCTCTTCAAGTAGAAAATTCCTGAGCTTTTGAATAGCTGTAATTAACTGAATGTATAAATCTCCACCTGTACAATCAAAGGTGGGTAGCTAACCATGGGTGGTTTCTACTAAACCCTAATGATCTGGAATGAACCCCAAGGGGAAACCATTTAGCCACCCTGTCCACAAATCCCGTTCAAAATGTGAGGCAAGCAAAAGGAAAGCGAAGTGCTTAACTATTGCAGAACGCTGGCTATTCTGCCCATCCAGTGCACTGCTGAGCTCAGGCCGCTTTCATCACCATGCCCCCTGACTAGCAGAGTATGTACTTTTTAAAAATAAGATTTAGAGAAGAACAATCGCCTATTTCAATGAGTGACAAGTGTCCCAGCAGACTAATAATAGGCTATGAGAGTTTATGTAAGGCTAAACCTTGAAGTGTGAAAGGTGGCATTGTTTCATCTATATTTGTCTTGAGATAATACCTAACGTAATACTTATGTTGAGTTAGGAAAGGAGAATTTCCCAGAGCAAGAAGAAAGTGGGCAACCTGATCTTTTACTACCTATATTTTTAAAAAGGAGAACACCCAAGGGAAGGCTAACTGTGTAAATGATATCAGAGCCTTTCCTGTGTGTATGGGCCAAGGTGGGGGCAGGGAGAACAGAACACTTAATCACCAAGGGCAAAGGAAAAGCAGGAGATAGATAGCAAAGGGGAGGAATAAAAAGGCAGGGAGGCAGGAGGGTGGCTTTGCTGATAAAGGCAAACTTCACTGTCTTCACAATTTTGCCTAGGATCGGTCCAACTTATTTTGTGTCAACAGTGCATAAACCAACAGAAGGTATAGACAAAGGAATTTCCACTAGGCATTGTCACACAGCTTACAGAGAATAATGGAGTGATACCAAAAGACCCACACTGATTCTCAAGAAAAATAAAGTTGTATTTGCTTGTTCATTTTATGTATTTGGCTTCCTTATGAAACAAGCTTCATTCCGAAGCAGGAAGAAAAAGCAGGTGATTTCCAAGTACAGCAGTGATTTCATTATTCTAAAGTCAGCACTGACTTCCTCTCAGTGTATTTTCTGCTAGGAATAAAGAACTAGTTGAACAGCCTTTTTTCTTTTCTTTTTTTTTTTTGAGATGGAGTCTTACTCTATTGCCCAGGCTGGAGTACAATGGCACAATCTCACCTCACTGCAACCCCCAACTCCTAGGTTCAAGCAGTTCTCCTGCCTCAGTCTCCCAAGTAGCTGTGATTACAGATATGCACCACCACACCCAGCTAAGTTTTTGTATTTTTAATAGAGATGGGATTTTGCCATGTTGGCCAGGCTGGTCTTAAACTCCTGACCTTATGTGATCCAACTGCATCAGCCTCCCAAAGTGCTGGGATTACAGGCATGTGCCACCCACCAGATCTGGCCTAGTTGAGCTGCTTTTACCAGTGAATAAGAATACAAATCAACAAAACATTTCAAAATAAGAGATGCTTAGTTGTGTTAAAAAAGCAAATAACAGGCACAAAGGAACTTTTTAAAAACCAGAAATAGAAACAAACACTTTCTTGAAAGAGGAAATTGTATTTCTAGAAAAGCTACCCAAATAAAGGTATATTAAAAGATAGAACTGCCTAAGGCTTAGCGGTCCTCAATTGTACCACCAATAATTACGCCCACAATTTTATCCTAAATAAGAGTGATTCCCTGTTCCTCTTCCTACAGAACATGTCCTGTTCCCAAGGAGAACAAGAAAACATGATCCCTCCAGCCAGGACCAAACTAAACTCAGGAGTGGGTAAGCAGATTAGAATCACCTGTGGGCATTTTTCCCCAAACCACTCATACTCTCTGTACATTCTGACAAGGCTTCCTAAAGAAGCTACAGCTCTTTCCTATTCCCTATCTGAAAGCAGGGAACCACTGCTGTTGGTCAGGTTGTGCCAAAAGGTGGTTAACCCACCACTCAGCAGTGGCTATCATAATAGGCATACAATATCAGATGTCATTGTAAATGGCCACAATCTAAAAGAAACCAAAAAAGAAAAATAAAAGACGTTGAGATAATAATGTTTACTTTGGGTTATTATTAAAAATAGTAGTCTCAATTGCCAACCAATCAAGCCAAGTCATGATGACGACGATGATGATGACAACTGCTGATTATTGGTTTTTTTTTATTGCATTTTAGGTTTTGGGGTACATGTAAAGAACATGCAAGACTGTTGCACAGGTACACACGTGATAGTGTGATTTGCTGCCTTCCTCTCCTTCACCTATTTTTTT